TTGTAATTATTCTTTATGCCCCTTGTCCAGTCTCTCCCCATTCCTCCTCCTTTCCCCCTCCCCCCTCTAATTACCCTAGATTTCTTCTCTCCTTCTGAAAGAATAATGGTTACTCTGTTGATTTGTTGCCTAGATGATCTGTCCACTGCTGAGAGGTGTGATCAGGTCCCCCAATATTATCACAGAGCAGATGCTCCTTCTGTCACTCTGAAATGGGCTTTGTGGAGAGAGACATCCTCTTCTTCTCTTTATCTCTGCTGGTGACTCTCCTTGTATCAATGCACTCCAGTGGTTGGTGGACCATCTGCATGGTAGTTGTGGTGTCTAGCTGCTTTCACAGCTGCCATGGTTATTGTGGTGGTTGTGGTGGGCCACCCACATGAAGATGATGTTTTTGGCATTCTCCTTAGTGCTGGCGGTATGCCTGGTTGTGGGGTGTGTCAGGTCCCCAGGCAGGCCCCGAGGCGTTGGTACAGTGTGCCTGGTTGTGGGAGTGGGATCTGGTCCCCAGCTCCAAGCCTCCAGTTCCCAGGCAGGCCCCAAGGCACTGGTGGTGTGCCTTGGCTGGAACTAATTTTTTGTCCTTTGCTTACTTCTAAAATGGGGGAACTTCCTGTGGGAACCAGTACTTGAGCTGTGTGGTTGAGCTAAACTGCTGCTTTGCTGCTGTTTCCCTAGGAAAGGCTTTTTGTGCAGCTCAGGGTTTAATGATTGACCTTATAGGTACTTCCAGCTCTCCAGAGACCTGGTGGATCTGGGTTGTGTAGAAACTCTGATCTGCACCTGAGGTTTTTCATCAAACAGCACCCGATACAATTCAGCATTCCCAACTACTCTCCTCTGAGTGGTCCTGTGCCAACTGGGGGTGGATCAGCTGTCCTTGCTGTTTCCCAGTGTTCTCCCGGTGGGCCCGTCTCCCCCAGTACCCATGCTTCAAACACTTCCCATGGGATGGGCCCTGTGCTGGTCCCTTGCAATGACTCACCAGCCTCTGAATGGCTCCCCTTTTTAAGCTGTTCTGGCTCCTCTCTCCTGCATGGGTCCACAGGAACCCTATTAGTGGTCTTGCTGTCCTTGCCACCAAGACCCTCTTCTCCCCTGCTGCCTCCAAGTAACTCCATCTGGAGGGCACAGCTGCAGCTTCTGCTGGCTCCTGCTCCATGTGCTCAGTAGTTCCAGCCTTAAAGCAGCTGCAGCCCAAAACCCTCAGAGCAGTTTTTTCTTTCTCTCATCGTGGTTTCTCCCGCCTTTATGAACTCCGTGGGTCTCTCCTCCTCTTCCCCTGAGCTCCAGTGGCCCCAGCTTGGCCGATGTTACATTTTTATAGTTGTAAATCGGTTGATCTGTAGGAGAGAGTGACGCTGGGAAACGTCTATTCTGCCATCTTGACTGGAACCTCCAAACAATTCCTTTTTTAAAACTCTGAATGACTGGTGTCAAAATGGTGTTACAACATAATTGGCACCATAAAACTATGCCAAAATGTCTTATTGTATAAGACACAATAAGGTAAATTATTAACATCTATAAAGCTAAGGGAAAGATAGCATCATCATATATTTTTTTTCCTTTTTGTCTTTTTTACTGACCGGTAATGGGATCGCAACCCTCGGTGTTGTGCCTGTACCGGGGACCGGCAACGAGATTGCAACCCTCGGTGTTATGCCCGCACCACGCTCAGCCAGTGAGCCGGAACCGGTCTCCACATGGGATCCGAACCCTTGGCGGGAGCACCGCTGCGCTCCCAAGCGGCACACTCTCCAGTGCGCCACCGGGCCGGCCCGCATCATCATATTTTTACCTATTAGTTTCTCCCTGTTGCTTTGGAACAGATTTCTCCTTTCCATGAGTCCCAGAACTTTCTACAGAGTCATTTCCATCTTTTTCAGTGTCTTTATTTTTTTTTAAATTTTTTATTCTTTTAAAGATGACCAGTAAGGGGATCTTAACCCTTGACTTGGTGTTGTTAGCACCACGCTCTCCCAAGTGAGCTAACCAGTCATCCCTATATAGGGATCCAAACCCTTGGCTTTGGTGTTATCAGCACCATACTCTCTCTAGAGAGTCATGGGCTGGCCCTTTTTCAGTATCTTTAGATGTAGACAGTGCACCTGAGCCTTGAGGAAATAAGTCTTCTAATCTCTTTTTTTAAAAAATAAGCAAAAGATCAGGCTCCAGAATCAGACAGGTGAGGATTTTAATCTCCTCTCCACCTATGATGAGAAGTTTGACTTTGGACAAATTCACAGGGCCCCATTTTTCGTATACAGTTTTTGTGCATCAGGAAACTGGAAGTGGCTTTTGAGAGTTCTGGCTCAAGGTGTCTCATGAGAATACAGTTAAGATGTTGGCCAGTGTTGCAGTTATCTGAAGCCCTGATGTGGGGCTAGAGGATCTACTTTCAAAGTAGCTCACTCTCATGGCTGGCAAGTTGGTGCTGGCTATTGGCCTCAGTTGACTTTTCCAGACAATGTCCTCAAGACATAGTGGCCAGAGTGAGTGTTAACCATATTTGATTAGAACAATGGCAGTGTCACATTAAACCTGATAGACCAAAGTGATTTTATGTTTCAACATTTAAATAAAACCAAGTGTATTTAAATTTTATTTTTGTACTGATATTAATAAACAACCATTCTTGACTGTGTGTGGGAGGGCTTCTGGGCATTGTGGGTTGTGGGTTTCTCAAACATTATTATTACTTTGGCATTTCATAGATAACTTGTTTATTTTGAAACTAATATTAGTCTTTCGCTGACCATATCTATGTTAAGTTCTCCAGAAGCCATGATTTTTGCAGTTTGAGTTTTTATATACCAAGTAAAACAGTTTGTCTATGAATTTATTTGAATGGGCATTTAAGTCCTTCATTACACATAAAATAGGTTGGGGGGAGGAAAAAATCCAAATAGATTTTATTGGGAAACCCAATGTATTAGGGTTCTCTCTATTCTGACCCTAAATAGATTGGATGATGGTGGCCCACAATGGTGAGGGTGATCTTTACTCAGTCTACTGATTCAAATTCTAATCTTTTCTAGAAACAGTCTCACAGTCATACCCCAAAATAATGTTTTACCAGTTGTCTGGGCATCCCTTAGCCCTGTCAAATTAATACATAAAATTAACCGTCAGACTCAACATCTCACTTGGAGCATCTTTTAAGTGATTTTGGTTTCTGAGGAATTACAATTACTGGAGACTTGTATTTTCCACAGAAACATCAAAGGAGTTGTTTCCTGTTTATTTATTTACTTAAGTTACCAAAAAATTAAGGGGAGGAAGAGGCAGTAAGAAGTTTCAGGGCAATACAACACTGAGGAACAAGGAAATACTTAATTTGGAACTAACCCCAGGAGGGTCTTATACCATCTATTAATACTGACTAACAGTCCAAGCTCACTGTGTCCCTTCCTCCCTCCTGGAACTCAAACATTCTGCTTCTGCCAGTTTCCATATGATCCAAGGTCAGTTCAGTTCTCTCCCGGGCTGTTGCAGTTCTAATGGCCTGTGGACCCCTCAGTCTCACCTCTTCTAAACTGCAGCCAGATTAATTTTGCCTGCTTAAAATTCTTTCACGTTTCCTCAATGTTTATTAAATAATGTTCCAGTATCTCAGCTTGACCACTGGAGGTACTCCACCCAAAGGCACCAAGTTACCTTTTACATTTAGTGTCATTTATCTCCCCTTTGACAATCTTAAAAAGGACTGTAAGCGCTCCTTAAGTGCTGTTCCTCTTCCTGTAAATGCTGTGGGCTGAAATCCCACCCATCCTTTAGGGTCTTTCCCAAATACCACATTCTCTGCAAAGATTTTTCTCCAGATGGCCCTTCTCCACCAGACATATTGTCTCTCTTTTGAGGCCGCTCACTGAACTTTGTAACCCTTATGATATTTAATCATAATCGGTTTCATTAATATAGCACGTGTATACTTACCTTATCATTCCTGCAAGTTGTAACGTACTTGATAGACTTAAACATCTTTTTCTCTTGCAAACTCCTAGCATGTTCTTTTTGCTAGCTGGACTTCAATAAATAGTTTAAATCCACCCAATAAAGTGTTTAAATCCACCGAAGAAAACTATTCAAGATAGGAAAGGTCAAAATTCCTGTTAGTTTATCAGACAAAATGTAAAGATTTGTAGAATAAAATTACATGGCTATAAAAATACAGACACTTACGTGTGTGTATATTTTTCATTTTGCTATGATGTTTTTCTTCGAGTATTGAAAGATACAAGAAATATGGTCCCTGCTTTTTATTACGGGGCTGCACCTAAAAAATGATTAGTTGTGGCCTAGATGATAATTTCAGGACAAAAAACATCTCTTTTAATTTGGGACCCTGCCTAAAAGGACGCTGGCAAACGCTGAGTTTTGAGGCGGGGGGCTGCTCGGGGCACTGAAGGAGACGGGCCCCCAGCCTTGCAGAGACCCCTTGACCCGGGCTGGCCAGGAGCTCGGCGGAGGGCTGTGGGGCGCAGGCCTCCCACTCCCCGGGAAAAAGGCCGACCTGTTCCCACCGCTGCTCCCCGCCTCCCCCTGCAGGTCCATGGCCCGCGCCGCGCGGGCTCTTCCTGGGCGCCTAGGCCCTGCCCGGGGGCGCGCGGAGGGCAGGGCTGGCCCGGGCGTCTCATGGTGAGCGGCCGGCCGGGGCGAGGTCAGGGACCGGGAGGCGGGAAGCGGGGGGG